TGTATCCGGAAGTGATGGCGGCTTCTGTCATTGCCAAAGACCGGCGTGACCGTCTGCTGACTGAACTGTACAAAGAATTAAATTTTCCGGCAGATATTCCGGGCGGCGGATACGCCAATGCCCTAACCCTTAAACTGTTAGGGGAGTATATCAGAACACACGGCAGGCTGCCGGGTGCTTACCGGACGTCTTACCGCTGGTCAAAACTCGATGCCATCGCCGGCAACACCCAACTGCAGAATTAAAAAAGAAACACCGCGCAGAAAATAACAGAGATAATTCAGAAATGAGTGAGGAAGACGGGTAAGGCCGCACAACAAATGAGTTATGCGGCCGGACATTCAGCGGAGCGACCGGCAATTACACACCGGACTTTTTAACGGGCGACTGCAAGAGCCGCCACGCCTTCAGTTGTGTTAAACGGAAACTCGGTGGTCGGAACGTTAATTACCGGACGACCTCTCACCGCATCCCAACTCCATTCCCACGCATTCGTACCGAATGTGAAGTAACTTGTGTCAAACGATGCCTGAGCTTTTGTACCCGTCAGGTCTATATTTCCGGCGTCACCTGTTCCTGTCGTGGATTGGAAACAATATACCTTCGGATTTGATTTATAATACGCCCAGTTATGACCTGAGTCAGTAAACAAGTAACTGTTGGCATTATAACTATTAACACCGCACTTGGCATTACTTGACGGCAGACTGCTCAGTGAATAGCCTCTAATTCTGACGTTATCAGCCTTTGCTAAAAGACCGCCAATCTTATCATTCGCTGCCGGTGAAGCGAAAGTAATTGCTCCGCGACTGTAACCGGAAACCTCAACATAATTTCCCACAGCAGACGTAGCGGATTCCCAAGTGCTTTCAAATTCACTGACAGTCATTGCACTACTGCCTCTCCAGTAAGGAGTTCCCAAGCTACGCTGATCATTTACTGCGCCTACCAGGCCCCCCAGATAATTGTACGTACTGTCGGCATTTTTGTTTTGTTATTATAAGTCACAGGCGATGAGGAAAATACCACTGATCGGGAAACCCTATACTGATTGCTGTATGAAACCCCGTCAGGTGCCTGAACTGATTGACGGATGATATGCCCGATTGCCCCCCCGCCCGAAGATCCGGAAACAGATCCTGTACTGAAGCCATATACAGTTGACGCTGATGCTGATGCGACAATTCCTCCGGCGAGGGCACTTCCACTGATATTTCCGGTTGAGAATCCTTTTATGGTACTTTGAAAAGATGACTGTACCAGCCCACCCGCCATACCATAATTACTCACAGAAACATCTGCCGCCGAATATCCTGAAAGAGTGCTGTTACTTAGCTGTGCAACAATACCGCCGCAATAAGAATTACAACTTAAAACGGTAGATTTATTGAAAACGTCCTGCAGTCTGCTGCTATCAGCAATTGCGACAATTCCGCCGGACTGTGTTATGGCTGTTGTCTCAATTCTGCCGCCGGAAGTACCGACATCAGATCAGTAATTTCCCCGTTATTATATATGTGTGCCGAGACCGTACCCGTATTCCCATTTGATTTTATGACAGGGTTGTTAAAACGGATATTACGGATAACCCCGCCGCTAATGCCGGAAAATACACCGCCTATGTTACCGGTCTGTGTACCATCCATATAAAAATCTTTTATCTCTTTTCCCTGTCCGTTAAGAATACCGGTAAAAGGAGCAGATCCGCTTCCTACCGGAGTAAACCCGGCTGCCGGGAACCCTGAAGAACCGGACACCGGAAACAGAATATCCTGAATGAGGGTATAAGTGCCGTTCAGCTTATACTGCATATTCTGCAGATCATGCCAGTCATATATATTGCCGTAAGGTTTCTTGGTCAGCTTAAAAGAAAGCGGTTCACAATTCTGCACCGTGACCTTCAGATCAACGGCACCTGTGGTCTCGCTCATCAGATTGTAAAAATCAAAGTCGCTTTGTCCGGACACGTCGTAAAAATCACTGCCGGCGGAAGTTCCCGATGATGTACGGCTGACACCGTTATCAGTAAAGGTCAGCGTAACCGTTCTGCCCGCAGGTACGTTGGATACCTTCAGATAACGCGGCCAGTTCACATCTCCGAGAGTCAACTCAAGTGCCTGTGTCTTAAAATCTTCTTTCAGGGGCAACTTTCATCGGGCTGTTCGAACCCGACGAACAGGCGACAAGCTGGTTGTTGCTATCGCGCACGAGCGGAAAACCTTCGTTAGATGCAACATTATATTGGCATTCAGAGAGTTAGTCCGCCGCAATATTACCGACGGCATCTTTTACCCAAGCCCTGATGGTATGAGAACCAGACTCAGGATCAGACGCAGGATCATACGCAAGTTTTGCGTATGCCGAGACATTAAAATTTTTCTGCTCCGGCGACACTGCGACCCATTGACTGTCAGCTGCTGACGGAGCCACTGCGTCATTTACTTTAATCAAATAAGCTAAGCACTAACCCCCCAGTTATCTGTTGCGGTAACTGTGACACGTATATTCCCCGTTACAGCTACACCGCCGGATGATATATCCGAGCTGGCAAGAGTTGCAGACTGCGGTGCAGAATTATCGTCTACCCTGATGTTCCCTCCGGGATATCCCCGTTTGCGTTTGAAGTCACCCCCGTTGAAGTCACTCCGGTATTACCTACTCTGTCCTTTACCCCAGAGCCATAAGGTACGGCCGCCCGTACCCTGATAATTATACGAAACAGCCGTATTACTGTAAGTATCAACACTACCGGACGTTACCGTATGCGGCGGTACGCTGACCCAACAGGAGTCAGACGACTGCGGTGTTGACGGCACAACATTTGTGGCAGGAGTATCTTTAAGACAGTATGCCGCTACGCCGCCCTCTCCCTGCGCAGAAACCGCATCTGTAATCTGTATATTGATAGTACCTGTGCCGGTATTTACACTGGGATTGTAACTGACTGATAATAGATGCCGTCGGCGGTGCAGTGTCCGGCGGTGTATACTTTGACAACACAGAACCGACGCTGTATTCTTCCACTGATCCCTTACAAACAGATATATCTGACGTTCTCCCGGACCTGATAACGTATAGGGAACATTTGATCTGGAGAATGCCAATTCTTTCGGATCGACCGTTTTCCAGCAGAGGAAGCCTCCGCCGGCTGTTGAACACTTTCAGCAGAAGCAATGTCAATAACGCAGTATGCTGCCACACCTGTGTCATCATTGGCACTCAAATTAAGCTTAATATCCGGAGCGGACGTGTTTGGCGGCGCAGTAACAGTTACAGAAGTCGGTTTTTTTGGCTTCCACACATGTTTTTTGTGTACGCATGGACTGCTCTTTAACTTTTTCTCCGCCGACGGCATCTTATAGAGCGTCAATTTAATAATAATCCACTCATCACACTCGATAGCACTCCATGGGGGTGGTGTGAAAGGGGGGCGGTATGTATATACCCGTTGCATCCGTAGTTCCTTTTCCTTCTTCGGTCTTCAGAAGAACACCGGTCAGTTCACGAATAAATTCAACTCTCCAGACTATTTGGACATCAACTCCGGTTTTTACTTCAATATTACCGTTGATATTATCATACTCTGCCTGGGAAATTCCGTCTGACATATCGATTTTTGGAGAAATCTCATACATCAGTTCATTTCCGGTTACATCACCTTCGCTGTCTTTATCATTTTTAGTACATGCAAGCACCAACAGCATACTTGCGGCAGCAAGAAGCAGATAAAATGCACGAAAGTCAGAGTGTCTTTTCAAAATCATAAAAAGAGAATTTATCGTTAATTTTACTTAATTACATTACTTATTAAGTTAATTGTATCATATTTTTCTGTCAATGCAAGTTTTTTTTTAATTTAACATACACCGCGATTTAACAGTTTTGGCAGAAAAAAAAATAACATCAGATATATAATTATTTTATTTAGGGCGTCCGGAAAATGACTGATAAAGGACTGCGGTTAAAATTAAGATACCGCCGTAAACCGAATAAATACTGACCGCCTCACCGCTGATCAGCAAGACAAATATCGGCGCGAGTAAAGGCTCATCATCAGGGTCGTGGTTGCTTCGGCAGCAGAAACGCGGTTAATACCGATATTAAAAAACCATATCCCCATCCCCAGCTGTACAATTCCCATCAGAATAATAAGAAACACATCGCGGATGCTTCCGAATGAATTTCCCCACTGTGCTTTAGCGGATAATGCATCAGATAAAAATCCGGGGAACTGAACGGCAAGTCCGCCGATAATCAGTATTACACCGGATACACCGGCAAGTAAAAAATGTGCATAAATAAAACAGTCAATCGTCTTGATATGGCTGTATTTCTTAAGCAGAACATTCTGTATACCCAGCGTAAATCCGGACGCCATCGCCATCAGAATACCGGCCAACCCAGACAGAAGGGGAAAGCGACTCCATAAAAAATAATACCATACCGCTGACAGAAATAACGACCGGCAATATCTTCTTCAGGGTAACAGATTCATGAAGTATCAGATATGAAAATACCAAAACGTATACCGGTGCGGTATACTGCAAAAAAACCCGCATTGGCAACAGATGTATAACTAATCGCCATCACATACAAAAACGCTGTCAGCGCGTGCAGGAGCGTGACCAGTGCCACCGGGAAATTTATCCGGTTCAGCTTACCGGTGAGAGCCCACAAGAGCAGTGCGGCAGAAAGAGAGCGCCAGAATGTGACCTGATAGGGTGTCATATCCGTAATCCGGATAAATATGCCGCCCATACTCCAGCAAAACGCCGCCGCCGCAATAAAAAAGAGTCCGTTACGGCGGTAATTTGGGTCGGTAAGAACAGCAGCGGCTTTATTCATAGCGGGAGCGCACAATAAAATTATATATTCCCCGCTTACAGCAGACGCATTAAGCACTTCACAGACAATAAACTCAAACTGTTTTGTGAGATTAATAAAGCTGACGGCCCAAGAGGGTGCGGAGTAATATCAGGAGCGGTGCGAAAGAAACGGAAATGGCTCCCGAGCAAGACTCGAACTTGCGACCAACCGGTTAACAGCCGGTTGCTCTACCACTGAGCTACCGGGGAACGAAGTAGTTTAATATCCGCTTTTTTTTCCGGTCAGTCAATACATTTGTTTAATTTTATTTTGTGTACCCCGATTTTTATTTCCAAAAAACATCTGACGCGGTACAATACATATAAAGTTAAAATATCTGCACATTTATATACAAAAGCATCTTCCGCATGCCGAAGCGATTTTTACAGATTGATACTGACTGAAACAATATGGCTATACATTCTTCGGTTTTGAATTTGCTCCGGTTTATACTTTTATTTCTGCAAGTGCGCGCGCACGGAATACTTAAAGATAAAATTACGGCTTCAGTTCTTCTGCTGTCTGTCTTATTCTCTTACAGTACCCTGCATGCGCAGTCTGCCGTCCGCACATTGACTGTATATCCTGACTTATTTGAAAATATGTCCGGAGACAAATCGCAGGATATACTGCGGTTGTATTTTGCGGAAAAAAACCGTACGGCATTTGAAGCGAACGGATTTCACGTATATGACAGTGATACCGTTGCCGCCAAATATGCCGCCGGCAACCGGAATACGTTCCCGCTGAAGCAGATTACCGCGTGCAGGGCAGTTATTACGTATTTGCCGACCTGATTGAAATTACACTGACGGTAAAATCTGCCGTCAGTGAAACACCGGACAGAATATATACTCTCAAAACCAATGATGCGCGCATGGATGAGGAGTACAGTCAGTTACTGCTCAAAGCGGGTAAGGTGATTAAAGCGGATTTCAAACTGCCGGAAACATTTATTTTATACGAAACCCCGGATACCAAAGACTGGCTGACCCGCCGCTACAACCGCCTGTTCCGCCCGCAGACAACGTCTCCGCCCTACAAAAAAGCACCGCCCGCAGATGGTACGTATGACCCCGATTATTATATAGAGTATATCCGCGCGGAAACAGAAGACATCATGCGCAACGAAAAACACGAACCGCTGAAAAATAACCGGCTGGATAAACTGGAGAAGCTCGCGGTTATCCTATTCGGCAAATACTCTGAGCATGCGGGGATCATCGCCGCCTGCGCTGAACTGGCTGTTCTGCACAAAAAACGGTACCAGACGGCTGAAAACTTTGCACGCAAAGGACTCAAAGCCAATCCGCTCCACAGTAAACTGTATCTGTTTCTGATTATGTCTGCCGGTACCGGCTCGGGAGAAGGCAAGAGGCATACCGCAATCTGATACGGGGCAATCCGTTTTTGGATTTTTCCGTTTATGACGCAAAAAAAATAAAGTATGAGGGCGGACGCTACGACACCTACCTGCTTAAATTTGTCCCGCAAAAAACAATGCCGGTACCGGATGTACAGACAGATTTTGACATCCGGTTTAATTATGCGCTTTCCCTCAAACAGCAGGGACAAACCGCAAACGCACTGGAAATAATGCTGGAACTTGACCGCACATATCCCGGACGCGATAATTTAATCAAAGAAATTTCTGACATATACAATGTACAAAATACGCTGACAGCCAAAGAAGCCCACCTGCGATTTCTGCTGGCGGCTCTGCCTCGCATGAAAGAACCCGATAATATGTATATCCGCCTCGCGGAACTTTATTATTCAGGTTCGGTTTTCGCGCTGGCGGCAAAATATTATGAAAAATACTACATCGGTCACCCGGAAAACATGACCGTATTGGAAAATATGACCCTGTGCCTGATAAACAGCACCGAATATAAAAAAGCACTTTTTTATTCGCGGAAGATGGTGCAAAAAATGCCGGAAACCCAAACGGATATTATTACGCGGCGGTCAGCGCGTTGGAGGGCGGAGATAAAGTATTAACGCAGAAAATTCTGGATGCCGCCGCCCAAAGAGGCATCAGCGATAACCGCTACAGCATTATAAAAGCACGGCTGGCAGAACCGGAAAATGAAAAAAACAATTCTCCGGGCGGTAATCCGGAAATTAAATCCGAACAGCCTCCCCGGTAACCGGCAACCTAACCCGCCATAAATACGTTAATTCATACAGACTGTTCACATAAACCGATTCTGTGATATATTTTTAAGCTGATTACGATAACCGTATACTGAAGCCTGCGTGGCTGCACCCTGTAAAAACTTTGAATATACTCTCATTTATTACGCGTTATTTCACTTTACCGCACCGGGCGGAACGCCGGTATATGGTTTTATCCGCGCTGCTGCTGACTTTCTGGCTGCCGGCGTGTAATTACGATTATTATATCGCCAATAAACAGCGCGAATCCAAAAATTATGAAATCGCCAATGTTCACTATCACCGCGCGCTGATTGACGATCCGGACGACAATGATTTTATCGCCGGTTACACTGAAAACTCTAAAACTGTCTCGGATTTACTGCTGGAGCGGTACCGGCGTTATATAGAAGAACGGCGTTTTCTGCCCGCCTATGCGTTGCTCCGGCGCGCCCAGGAACTGCCTTACAATCAGGAATATATAAAAGAAGAGGAAAAAAACTGGCTCCGGGTACTGATTGCAGGCAGGGTCACGTTCAGTTTTGATACACTCAACAATTATTCTGTCGACTCCTCGCGCTTTCAGCTTCAGGCAAGATTTAACACGCCCAACCAGAGCCGCCGGCTGATCGCACCGATTGACCTGATTCACGGCGTATATTTCACAGAAGATTACCTGTACAAGCCCCAGAGCGAATTTTTGATGTTTTACACCCTCAACGCCATCGGACTGACACATCTGATAGACATTCAGGGCGTGGAAAACCGCATTGCGCTGAAGTTTGAACAATCGCAGAATTCCCCGCAGGATGCCGGAAAACCCCGCTACCAAAAGCCGACCCAACTGCAAAACTCACTTATCAGCGAAGAATTTAATGCCTTCATAGATTTTTCTTTTCCGGTCGTGTCAGAAGCCTCCGGGGAATTGAGTTATACCCAAAAATTAGCACAGTTCACCGACTACTATCCGCAGGATATTCTTAAACGCAGCACCGCACAAACGCCGTGGACAGGTGAAGCCGGTATCCGGTTCAAAGCCTCGCTGGAGAGAGACCGCATCGCCATTGATACCGCCGCGAAAAGCATTGAATTTCTGCCGCAGATTATGTACACCAACAGCACCAACAACCGCGTTTTCCTTGACTTCGGCGAGCTGGAAGTGAAAATGGAAAAAAATACGCAGTTGTGGAAAATCAGCCGCAAAGTTCCTGAAAAGCCCGCCTACCGGGACATTCTAATGCGCAATTACATCATCCGTCCATACCTCATATCAATTGACGGCACCTTCCCTTACGTCAAAGGAAGCTGATGCAGAACGAATCTGCACGGCAGGCGGTGCTGTTTTACACGCAGTCTGCCGCCGACCTCCGGCTTGCCCGGGCGTCAGCCCGCACAAAAAAGTACGAAACCGCCCTGCTGATGTGTGTGCAGGCGGCAATGAACCGCCTCAATTCAGTCTGCATCTCTTTGGATCGGTATCAGAACCCCACATATAATCTGACCGATATGCTTAAAATCTGCGCAAAAATCTCCCCCCGTTTTGATACCCTCCGCGAGGAATGCGGACTGCTGGACGGCATACAGGACTTCAAATTATTTGCCGGTCATACCAAAGGCGGACGCGCGATTACACCGCCCGTCATGCAGAGGTACTGTCAGGCGGCAGAACGTATTTTACAGGTGTCCCGCGTCATCATCACTGAAAAAAAACTCTTTCCGATCCCGGAAACACTCTTTGAAAAATTCCGCCGCTTCCTGCTCCTGCGCAGATTTTAACCCGCATGCAGGCGGTTAAGTATTTTTTACCCGGTTTTATGACTGACCTTCGTCAGCATAACGCCGTCTCAATGCCTGTTTTGCATCTCCGGAAATCCGGCGGAATGTTCGTTATAAAATCATACGCTTTTGAAAGTTGACAGATACCCGGTAACATGTTATATTGATATCAGTTTTTAACTGAAGATTATGGTTAGGGATACGGGTGCAGTCCCGTGTCTTAAGTCTCAAAATCCTTTACTCAACCCGTTTTTATTGTACTCAAACCTTTTTTACCCAGAGAATAAAATGATACACACTAATTCGTCAGATTTTAATTCAGCCCGGCGTCCGCTTCGGTCGAAGTTGGTCGGCTCTTCCGCTCTGTCTGGCTTTATGCCTTTATGGTTTTAATCTTCTTTACCTTTTCCTGTAAACCGGCCCCCTTACCGGAGGATGAAACCTCGGACGTTGCGCCCGTACGCTCATTGACTAAAGCAACCGATACCGCCGGTTTTTCCGCACGGAACTGGCATGCCGGCGCGGTGTTTGACAATGCCCTGTGGGTCATCGGCGGCTGGAGTGCTTCCTATAAAAATGATGTGTGGAAAAGCACCGACGGTATCACCTGGACACAGGCAACATCCGCCGCCGGTTTTTCTGCACGGTACGGTCATACTTCCGAGGTGTTTGGCGGTGCGCTGTGGGTCATCGGCGGCTGGGACGGTTCCGCAAAGAACGATGTGTGGAAAAGCACCGACGGCATCACCTGGACACCGGCAACATCCGCCGCCGGTTTTTCCGCACGAAACTTTCATACTTCCGCGGTGTTTGGCGGTGCGCTGTGGGTCATCGGCGGGCAGTTCCAGTTCCCTAAAGAACGATGTGTGGAAAAGCACCGACGGCATCGCCTGGTCACAGGTAACCACAAGCGGCACAGTTTTTACCGCACGGTACGGCCATACTTCCGCGGTGTTTGACAATGCCCTGTGGGTCATCGGCGGTAATGACGGTTCCCCAAAGAACGATGTGTGGAAAAGCACCGACGGCATCACCTGGATACAGGTAACATCCGCCGCCGGTTTTTCCGCACGGAACACTCATACTTCTGCGGTGTTTGACAATGCGCTGTGGGGCATCGGCGGCTGGGGCGGTTCCCGAAAGAACGATGTGTGGAAAAGCACCGACGGCAGTGCCTGGACTGAAGTAACCAATGACGCCGGTTTTTCCGCACGGAACACTCATACTTCTGCGGTGTTTGACAATGCGCTGTGGGGCATCGGCGGCTGGGGTGGTT